GGGAACCCACCTCCCTACCAAAAAGATGGTGGTAGGGGCATCTTCTGACACGCCTCCCTGCTGAAGGGCAGTTGTGAGGTCCATGTGGACTGCTGGAATAGACTTTTTTCAACTGTGAGCTCAGCAGGAGACATGCAGCATGACCACTGCGCTGTTCTCAGGTGGATGCTGGCAGCACCAACGGCACAAAACTGAATGGTGTCGTGATCAGCCTGCCAGACCGGAAGGCCAGTGAACCCCGCACCCTGCAGGACGGAGACATCATCACCATCGCGGAAGAAATTCGGCTGCAGGTTGCGCTGCACCCTGCAGGTGTTGTGCCTTCCAAGAAGAGAAGCCAGTCTTCCGAATCACTTGACAAGGAGAATCGAAGCCTGTCGGGTGAGCAAGCATGCATCCATGAGTGTGCGCTTACAACAATATGACAGACACAATCGTCAAGTTACCCACCTCCGCACGCATACTGTGCATTGCAAACTGTTTCTAACAATGATGGGCAGTCACTGGGAACCCCCACCAGCAAGCCATCAACCGTGGTGGAGGCTTTGGGGCAAGGGAAGGAAAGTGGGAGGGAGGGTTTTCCCAACCGGCCTTGAAATTTTGAGAGAATAGACACGAGGGGTGCAACCCTTATGCATGCATGGTGGAAGCCCTGGATGGACCCTATCCAGAGGTTACATTCTTGGCAGAAGGAAGCACGATGGGTATTCCCCTGTTGGCAGAAAATTCATGAGAACTTGCTGCAATGTGCACGTGGTGGTGGAGAAGGTGTGCAACAGGAATGGCAAGCAATGTAGAGGAACGAGCCATGAGCGATCCTATCTGATGATGTGTGTGTGTAGAACTAAAAATTCAGTCGCGTATCCCATCTGTCAATATCCTCCACACATGTGGAGATGTTGTTTAGCTTGATTGCATGTTCTGCTTGCAGTTGCCCCAAGGAGCGGCTGTGTTTCACTTTTGGGTGTTTCTTCATCACGTGGTGCCACGGTCCAGAATCTCAGGGAACCACTGCTTGGCCAACCGCCTGCACCACCCAAGGCCAAGGTGTTGGAGTACCATTTTCCTGGCCTCGAGGCGGACTTTGCCATAGCTAGTCAGGTGTGTGGCACAGGCAATACCACCCCCAGCAACACCCCCACCCCACACAACCTCTCAGCAGGGAGAATTGTCAAGACTGGATGGATTTCGCCAGGTTGTTGAAGAATGTGGGTTGGCAGGCCAGCTGCATCTTGCCATATTTGGTGTTGTGTGCTGCTCAGTTGAGTGCATTGGTTGTTGACAGCAAGTTGTGCTCAAGGACATCTATATGCCGATGAAGGGCCATGCATGCAGCCACAATTTGCTGCCTACAGTTGCTCATACGATCTGTAAGTTCAAAAATGAATACTTTGGTGTATTTGCCAAGGAAGCATTGAGGGAGGCATGGCCCCCACCTTGCCAGTTGGGGATTTGTTACAGATGCACAGACAATCAGAAGTACTTTTTGTGTTTTACGCCAAGTGTAGGCCCAAAAATGCCAACACAAAACTTAATGTGCTTGCTGTAGTTATAGAAATCCACATTGACTGCCATTTGTATGTTTGGGAGGCAAGCACCCACCTCTGTTGGTTTTATCATTCCCTTGAGGCAATGGTCTTCAACCTGTGCCAGTATGAAGATCACTGGTTCATTTGGGCAAAAAGAGAGTGAAGGGCATTGAGTGCAAAGATATTCATGAATAGTGTACCGTAGATCATGGAGGATAGCGCAGGGGGTGTTGAATAGTGCATGGACCTTTAGATAACACCCCCAGCATTATCAAGCATGGCCGGTGTTGCGGTGCACGGGGGGTACGCAAGAGAGGGGGTGGGGGTATTCACTTCAACATCACGTACAACCACAATGCAAAAGCATGTTCACTCACTCTTACGTCTCAGTGCATGTGATATCGCCCACCAATGTTATCAAGTCCACTCCAACTAAACATGGCCATTATATTCCTCCTTCAATCAAACAGCATGTCTTCAAGATTCTCGTGTCGAGCTCCATAATGCCATCACTTAAACCAAGGCCATCGGGATCTCCAGGCGGTCTCCAGTGCAGTGCGACATCCCAATAGCTGGTATTGGTTGGCGCTGTGATAGGCATCTTATGCACTGGTGTGCAATGTTATGTAATATGCTATATTGGCCAGGCATCGTAGACGCGGCATAATGCAGCGACCTATGGCGTCCCGTCACTTTCTTTGGCCCCAGTTATGATTGCTGCCGTGGATCGCGCCTTGTGTAATGCGCTAAGTTGGTGGGGCGCCGGTACGCTTTGCTTCCAGTATGCGGGTCAGCGTGATAACGCGGGTCTGCGTGCTACTGAGTCAGCGACCTGATGTGGAACGTGGGGGCCACAGAAGATAGCACAGGGGCATGCAAGATAGCGCCTCCCGCATTCCTGACATCAGCCCTGATGTGGAACGCCAAGCAGAGATTTGGGTGGCCAACACACCTGGCATACTTTGGGCAACTTGATGTATGTGCAGAGTGCACTTACGAATGTATCCCAGTTATGAGTGCATGCCCCTGCTCCACCCCTCCTTTGGTCCATTTTCTTTTGTTTGCATATTTGTAATATCAGCATCGTTCTGCAGGTTGGATCTCATCATTGGCACAACGACCAAGGCTCAGATGATGTAGCTTACTGGGAAGTGCCATTTGCAAATCTTGAGAAGGTGGGTATTAAAGATTGGCACATCGTTTGGCACTACATATTGACCACAACACTGCACAGTGGCGCCCAACACTGCAAACTTCATAGTTGAAGGCAATGAAGCAGCTCTTTGCCAATTTTGACGCGTGTGGCAACTAATACAGCATTTTCAGCAAGTGCAGGGCATAAGTGCTTTCCAACGACCGAGTGAACCCCTCCTTGAAGAGCCAAACTAATGCAGTGCTATGTGTGCCTCTTGTGGTGTGTTGTGAAAACTAGCTAAAGCCAGGACTACTTGCTGACACCTTACTTTACGCACTTTGTCGTGGGGCAGACCGGCCTGTTTGGGGTGTGTGATGGGCATTTTGGTACAAAAGCTGCCCAACAAGTACAGCAGCAGCTGCCCGGGGCGCTGCGCAGTGCACTGGTGATGGGCTCCTCAAGTGGCCTGCTGGGGAGGAAGGGCTGTGGGGAGGCTCTCACGAGTGCGTTCCTGGAAGTGGACGCGCGCATGCACATGGAGGAGGGTGCTACTGCCACCGTGCTTTTGGCAGAGAGGCAGGCAGATGGGGGCGTGGCACTGCAGGTCGCCAATGTTGGGGATTCCGGTGCTCTGTTGATCGACCCGGACAGGTACTTGCCTGGGGCAGTTTTATCTTTTGCTCATTGTGCTGCTGTTGTGTGTCATTGCTGAGGGGACAAGTGCCACCTATCTGTGTAGATGAAGTGCTGGTGTTTGGCCAGACTGCAAACAAGGCAAGGTGGATGGTTGGTGGCAAAGTGGAAAATGTAGCACTCTAGCCAGTGGAGGTTGCCAAGTCGTACTTCAGGGAGTTGGTTATTGTGTGGGAAGTGACCAAGTTTTTAATTCATTGCTGTTAGTTGTTAAACGTGTGGGTAAATGTTGGCCGTGAATGGTGTGTACATTTGGACATTATTGTCTGTGGTCGAAAATGCATTGGATGGTAGCATTTGACTCTGTTCCATAAACCACCTTGATTTGAACACTGCTGTCCAGGCATGGGTACCTCGTGATGACTGCAGACCACAGGGTTTCAGCCCCGGCAGAGACCAGCCGACTGCTTGACAAGGGCACCCAACTCACCCACAACAACACGCGCATGTACATGCTCAACCTTGCGAGGGCCATGGGGGACAGCACCTTCAAGGACATGGACATAGGCCTCATCGCGGAGCCCTATGTCAGCCAACTGCACTACTTCACGTCGTTTCAGAAAGCCATCGTGGTGATGGCCTCCGATGGCTTGTGGGATGCTGTCTCTGAGACGGAAGTTGTGCCCAGCGTCATGCGGATGGCTGGGAGGTCCAGAGTGGGCATGCGGGATGTGGCGCACAACCTCCTCAAGGCTGCCATCGAGAGGGGCGCTTCAGACGATGTGACTGTGTGCGTGGTGCGTTTCTGGCCAGCCGCATCAGCATCATGGAGGCCATAAGGGCCTCCTGGGCGTGCCGTGGTTTACTTGGTTTTGACGTATCTGTATTGCTCACAAATGTGAAGCGCAATAGAAGCATAAGAGCCATAGCTCTGCATCAGCAGTTGTAACATACACATGAGCTGGAGTTGCAAGCCTCGCTGCCAAAATGCTGTTCACCGGAGAAGGCGAGAACAGCCTATGCTCTGTATGTGCAGAGTTCGGGTCAGAAAGGTGGGCCATAGCACTGCCAGCATATTGCTGACCCACGCGTGACACAGCTGCGCATGGCTGTGCATCTGGTGGGCCGCATGCAAATTCCATGGGTGGCAGGGAAGGCACTCAAGTGGGCTCCGGGCCCATCGTATACATGGCTGTGTGCGAACGCATGGTTTCGTTTCGGAGTTGAATTGAAACGATGGACCTCCGAGTGGTGGTGTCTATATGCATGCCTCTGGCTGTACGAAGCTGCCCAATATGGACACCAATCACCCCGGGCGGTAGTTGCGAGGGAGCACAGCTTCTCAAACATGCCGATTCCGATTACAGGATCGTTTGTTGGCCCCTTTTGTGTTCAAACCCGTGTGGGCATGCAGCTGGCGTTTGTGGGTTTGTGGCTGTGTTGCATAATTGCCGCTAATGCAGCAGTCTGGGCTGCTGCTGGAGAGGTGCGGATTTGGAGTTTGGAGGTTGCCTCGCCTGGAACAACCCAGGCATATGGTTCAAGCCAGGAAGAGGCAAGGGGCCAGGAGGGAGTTTGGGTCGTCATTGGCGACTAGAATTTGGTGCTCGGGCACAGTCTTGTTAGGGCCATTTCATATCTGGTTAGATCCATGAAGACGTGAATCATGCGGGGCTGGTGCCCTGCTTAGTTAGTTAGCGTAACAAAGGCGAAGATTTGTTCACACGATGCGAATACAGCGCGCAGGACACAGCTGGCGCCCAACATTGGTTCGATCCGCACTTCGTTTGTTGGTGTAGTTGTAGAGCCTTCGGCGGCTGAGAGTCGCCAGAATTATGCATTGAATCTGTTGGTGTGCAGCTTTGCGGGCCGCCCACAGTTGCTGGGAATGGCTGCGCTTTGATTGGCGCGGCTGGCTTTGGTCTCCTGCGTGACCCCGCAGGATTCTAGCTCAAGGCGTAATGCATGTCAAGCAAGGACCCGTCGACAGCATCCTTTTCCTTTGGATGAAGGTAGAATCCTTGATTTTTTCAATGGAAACCCAGGAGATTGCAGCAATCAATTGAATGATAAGGAGCGCTGTCACCTGTTTCGCGCCCCCTGAGCACATGCATAGGTGCTACGCATGCTGCCAGTCCTTTCACCTGGCCTTCTAAGACTTCTACCTTGTCTTACATTGCGTTTCGGCACGTTCCACATTAAGGCCAGGAGATGGCCGTCAGGTTCCTGTCCCGCGCATGGAAAGCATTGTCAACTATTTGCCCAATGAGAATCCAGACATTGCTGCAATCAGCACCGACCACTGAGCTGTTATCAAATACAGCGCATGAATTCACGAGGTGCACAATAATCCACCGTCACAAACCATTGTGAAATAGCAAATTCCAAGCAGAAGAACTACAATATGCGCACAACCAAACCAGGAGACCAACACTTCTCACTCATCTCTAAAATCATACCCAGACATCCGAGTTTTCGGTTTGAAGTCATGAGAGTGAGATGAGAAGCTGTTGCTGGCCTGCTGGGATAGCTCGCTATTGGCTCATCATTTGATCAGCAAATGGCGATCAAAAGTCAAGCAGATCCGAGTTAAACCAGTTTCAAGCAGGCAAGTGGCCAATCGTTTCAATCGCATGCAACAGAGTTTCATCATAAAGGTTTTACGAACACTTGTGTGAAAATTTGGAACGGAATTTCACCGTCTCTTTTTCCATTCCACGGCTTGCTTCCTTCATGTCACAACAGATCTTCTCCAGGTTTACCCGCCATGGCAAGAGGCAGCCGCCGGCTCCTTGCTTTACTGGATTGACTATTTTGGAAACCTGCTTCGAAGTTGAACATCAACGAATCGGTCGATGGCACCATCCCCACAGTAATGCAAGTACTGCAAGTACAGTACAGCAGTGGCGCCCCCAATCACCAGTAGACCGGGCAGTTTTCCGGACGCGTCGCGGACACTGCAATGAGTGTCCGCGACGGCGACCCAAGTGTCCCGGACGCTGACTCCATGTTGGACACTATCGCCGTCACTGTCGGCGACACTCCCCAAGCAAAAGGGAATGCCGCGGATATAGAGACCGTCGCGGTCACTGCCGTGGACACTGACGCGGCCACAAAAGTCACCGTCGCGGTCACCGTCGCGGACACAGCCATCATCCCAAATACAGTCAGCATCTTGGCCACTGTCGCGGATATTGACGCGGTCACACAGCCAGCGTCGTGGACACCATGGCCGCTGCCCGGACGGCCTCAGGCACATCATCAATTTGTTAGACGAGTATACCAGTCACGAATTTGAATCGCAGACCTCATCCATATTGGGATCTCCACAGCCGCCAAAATCACCCCACGGCCCGGGGCCCTCTCCGTCAAGCAAGGAAAAAGCAACGCCGGCAGGTGAGGATATGGAGGTGAAGGACGGGCGTCCGCAGCTCGACACGGACGGGTGGGCTGGGAACTTCGCGCCGCCGAAGTGTGCCGCCGATGAGCACTTGTGCCCATCGCAATGGGCAAGAGACGAGTTTTGTAGGCGTGTTGTGCGGGGGCGGTGGGTGGACGATACGTGGGAGGCGGCACTGACGACGATGGATCGTGGCGAGCGGGTTGGCAAGGCGGATCGCAGTGGCGGATCGCGGCGACGGGTCTGTGACAACAAACGGCCTTGGGGGCTTGGGCGATGGCGGTTCCGCGGAACCGCCGATCGGCGGATCCGCCGATCCGGATTGGGCTGCGTTGAGGAGGGGCAGGTCAGGTGCGGTGTACTGAGTGTGTGTGTTGGTGTGCTCTCGTTCGCGTAGGCCCAGAAGCCACAGCAAGGTCACCACAAGCAGGTTGGAGAACGGGAAAAGAGGCATGGCGTGCTTCTTTGGCAATGCAAAATGGCTAGCGCGGGGTGTGGTGGTGCCATGATGCTGGGGGTGCTCGAGTGGGGTGGAGGATAGGTGTGGACACAAGGTTTAAGCAAAAGTTGTAGCCGGAGGTTGTAAGCAGAAATTGTAAACGATTGCGATCACCACAAGTCCGGCAACAGAACGCCGCTGAACGTTGCACCGAGGGAATTCGCCAGCAACGCCACTATAGCGTCCACGGCACTATCGGCGTCACTGTCCGCGGCACCAAGGGCAGTGTCCCTGGCACTATCCGCAACACCAAACCATGTCCATGACACTGACCGCGACGCCAAGGGCAGTGTCCACAACACTATCCGCGGCGCTAAACACTGTCCGCGACACTGACCGCGACGCCAACCAGAACGTGTCCGTCACTGTCCCCGTCACTGCCCGCGACGCTCCCACGACCCGCAATGTGAAGCGTCCGCGACACTATCGCGGATGGCGTAAAAAGTGTCGCGGTCAGTCTCCGCTGGGGACACTCATTTTGATTGTCCGCGACACTCATTGGAGTGTCCGCGACGCGTCCGGAAAACACCCCTTTACACTAGTGAATGCAACGCGGACTCGACACCTGGCTCACACGTGTGTGCGTCCGCGCTGGCCGCTGACTCAAGTCGTCGAAGTGACGTAAGGCTTGACGTTAGTTTGCCTTTACCAACGGCGCTGCCGACCCTCTCATATCGTGCGGTATCAAGCAGCCGTGCGTTGCCCTGGGTTTCGCAACCTTGTGAACGGCGTTCCAAAAGCGGCCCCGTCGGCAGCTGCGCAGTGAGCTTTCGCTCAACCTCACAGCCGCGTCTGAGCGCGGCATCTTCGTTTGCATTTTGGCCGTTCGCTCCGTTGCGCCGCGAGACAAGGTGGGGCGAAGGACTGCCCGAGACATGGGGATTTTCGTGGCACTGTTGACCATCAGGTGGTCCGCGGTTTTGCCGCCACGGGTCGCCAGCCCGGTGGTTGGGGCAGCAGTCGTGAGGGTCAGATTAGCGCTATCGTCAAAGCAGTCAGAGGCCTAATCCCGAAAAAAACCAGAACCCAAAAACCAGCTCACCCAGTGGCGCGCGTGAAGAATGTTCGCGCCCCTTCGGACTGCTTTGCTGGACCATGTGCTGGGTAGTGAAGGCGTTCCCGGGAGGCTGCGAGGGGACCAAGTGTGATGTCAACCGATGCGGTCCAAACCCTAGTGAGGCGAACGAACCACGAAGACCATGCGATCAATGACGGGTCTTGCGTGCTGCCCTGTTCGCGCAAATCATCCCAACCAGACTAAGTCGTGACGAAACAGCCGGCGGCTGTGCCTGCTTGTCTGGATGTGCTTGCCTGGACACGTCCTGAGTGAATGACCAAAAGGATTGGGCGCACGAAGGTGGTTGGTGGTCCGCTCTGGGACATTCACAAAGGGGGGCAGAAGGAAAGAATCGCCCCCAGCAGATATGAAGTCCTCTGTTACTCATCTGGGCTCGTGCATCTGCTCTCAGTACGATCGCTGAACAATTTGACAGAGCCACCGTCGCGTCGTGCAGGAGCCTCACATCGCACCAGCAACAACGTGGTTTTCCCTTAGCCAACTTGCTTGGAAAGGCAGTAGCCTGCCTCATACCTTCGTTCCTTCATCCCTGTGCATTACGGCAACCAACTGCCATGAACAATCTCAACATGCGAGTTTCAGCCGCTGAAGGTGGACGCAGCACGCAGCAATAAATATAGCGGCTCATAACACGGCCCTAATTGTATCTGCTGGTACCTTCTTCGGCATCAGGCTTGTAAACATCTTGCGTGGCCAAAAGAGACGCGCCACTCGGACCATGCGCGATGGGTGATTGGGAATCGGTGCTTTCTTCCTCCACACCATCCGTGGACTCCGTGGACATGGACGGAGATATAGAGCTCCTGGAAATCTACACTGCTAGATTGGATCGCTGTCGGAGGTGAGCAAACGCCCTTGCCGT